CCATGTGCAAGGTGAATTTGAACGCTCCTGAGCTAAGTCTGCATTATTTACCCTATAGCTAACATTAGAAGAACTGATCAATAGATCTCGCTTACCCTTTGGCCGTCCGCCAGTGTTTTGGAAAGCCTCATTTTGTAAAGATTTTGTTAACATCTACAAAAATGGTTCAAAGAGCTTTTCAGCTAATTCGTGTGAGACTCTTACATGCAAGTTACCCAGCTGTTGTTTTGTCCTGGCAGATACTCACTTATATCCTTCTATTTGATAAATAGTAAACTTTCGATTAAAGGTACATCATCGTATGAGATGCATCCTGCTTGTTCATTCCTAATAAAGAGAAGAAAGAGGAAATAAGCAGTTCTGTCTTTTCTGCATAATTAGTTTTACCATTCAGGTTCCTTGTCCAGACGTTGCTGTCTGGTGCAACACAATATTTGTACCAGCTAACTGTAACAAGCTCCTGGTCACTGGTGCCTAGGCAACAGCTGATTTTTTGGGTCAGTGATTAACTCTTTTTTTGTCTACTCTGAGAAGCTGAATATTGCACTACCCTTTGACAGGGAACAGAAGCTTTGGGTTGAAAGAAATCACTGGCCTCTGTTTTTAGAAATACTAAGGATATTTCAGTGGTGTCCACAAAATGAGGTTACCTGTGATAATGTGCTGGATGCAAATAGCTCTTGCTCTTAAGGCAAGAGAAAAATTCACCAAGTGAAGAGAGTGAACTTAGCAACTATGCAACTTTTACCTAAGGTTTCCTCAACAATTTCTTCTCTCCAGAAAGTTGGTGTTGATTAGGAGTTGTTTTTGTCCTGAATATGTTTAAATCTCCATATTCCCAGCTGGTCTTCAGTTTTCAAACTCTTATGAGAGGGAACAGCAATGTTTTCCTCCCCAAGTTGTGGGGGGGAGGGGAGACATGTTGGCAGGATCTCCTAGTTGGAGATACCCTCTATCTTTGTCAAATCTGGCCTGGAAATTATTTTGAAATGAGATGGATGCAGATATTAGACACAGGATTTTAGCCCAATTTCTATTCAAACAGAAATGAAAAGCAAGTATGCCATGCTAAAGTAGGTTCCATTCAGGAGCACTTCAAGACAATCTGAGGCCGTATATAATTTTTAATTCGGAAAGTTGCTTGTTTTACTTTGTAGGCCCTCATATGACCTATAAAACTGTGGAAACGCTTCTTGGCATTAAGATTACTGCATGACATGGCTTTGCAAATCTTTTCTTAAGTATGGGTTAGTAAACTAGCCCAATTTGCTTTGAAAAGAAAACACTCTTGAACTGAAGTGACAGCAAGAGAGGAAAATTTAAATATTTTTTTAACATGCTCATCCTCTTTGCTTAAGAGCACATAGCTGAAACAAACAGTGCCGGGGAAAAGCAAACAAATCACGCCAGACGCTGCGGGCCGGGTTAGGCGGCGAGCGGCGCGGCGGCGGCGCCGGGGCTCTGGATTAGCTCACAAGCATGCTGGAAGCCGTAGGAATTCTTCAGTTTCGGTCCCTTAAAGTAATAGATGTGGGATATATGGAGTAATTTGCAGGAGCATCGGAGACTGACAGAACAAGTGGCATGGGTAAAGTTAAACTTGTGTTAGTTTGGGCAGAAGCAAGAGCTTGATGCTTGCAGACTGCTGGGTGTTTCACATCTTTAACACAGTATGTGGTACTCGCCTTCGTAATGTCTCAATGTGACAGGTACGGTGCTTTGTCCTCCCATTACGGTGGTTAGCTGGCTCTCACAGTGTTTGCTGTTTCTTGAATAGATGGTGGCTAACTTGCTTGAATAGGAGACACAGAGGTCTTGAATCTCCCAAGGAGGAAAGGGCTTCCAAACCCAGCACTTCCACTTTCACAAGATTTTCTCCAAATTTCCGCTTGGACACTGCTATAGACCAGCTGGCTGCCTGTCAGCAGCTTGCCTGGAAAAGCTATGAGAAGGAGTAGAGGTAAGAAACAACACTGTGCTGTGGTAGCCACAGACCAGAACCTCAGAAGGGAAAGAAAAAAACCCCCAAACTACCCCAAACAGAGGGGTGTAGTAGTGCTGCAGTGCCAACAGAAGACCATTACACGTATTGAAATGTTCAACACTGTTCTCTCTAAGGAGCACATTTGAGGTTTCAGAGCAGCTTTTCAGGAAACCAGCCGTGCCATACAGTGTCCTTCAGGATACATCACCCAGCAGAGTGGACGCTGCTGCCAGCAGCATCCCTGCTGGCAGGGCTCTGTGTGTGCCGGCACCAGGCAGGGGGACACACCGCTCCCATAATCCTGCCTCTGGGTCGGAGAAGGGCTGAGGACACCCCTGTGTTGCACAGTGTGGGTGCCATCTGAACACCCTCTGTGGCTGTACTGTCTTTGCCAACAGCGTGCTCCAGTGTGGGTTTTAAAATTACACGTGAATGGCAAGTAGGTGCATTTTATAGATATTGGCTAATTTTGGCAATTCACCCATATTCACCCAGAACTTGTTCCTTCCTAAACCACTGAGTTTCTGCTAAAGCCTCTTTTTCAAACATGAAGCACAAAGAAGTCCCCTCAGCACGTGTGGAGCAAAAGGAAGGATGCAAACACAACTAAATCTAATAGCAACTGAATACACCTAACATGAACAAATAATCTTGTTTTGCTTCCATATTTTTAATTTGTTGTCTTAAAAAGACTGTTCACCCAGTGGTAAATCACATTTCCTACCTTTTACCTGCACAGAACTCCTGTATAAGAAAACAAATATGTTTAATGGTAGAAACTTTCAAAAAGTGAAATGTTGGTCTAGATAATGAGATTGATATATCTGACTTTCTCCTCACTTCTAAAAAAATCTCCCCTTTGTACTTTTCCTGTGCTTACTTACATTAAAAAATACACCTTCCAACATTTTCAGCGATATCTTCACTTTTACATAATGTCTAGTAGAGTCACACTCACTGGAGTCCCTCAGACGCACAATAAAACAATAGAGAAGTTGTGAAAGGCTTTTCATATATAAATCAAGATATTGAAACTAGCAGCTGTACCAGGTCCCTGTATAAATTATTACTAGTCTTTACACTGAAAATTCCCTCTTCTGAAAATAAATTTGAAAGCTTTTTTCTTGGGACTGGCTTCAGCTCACGGCTCTGTTGGCCAGTGCTGGTAGCGTGAGCAGAGTGTCGCTTTCTTTTTCGGTCTGAGTGATGAAAGGGGCTCTTCCTCCCGCAACGCTCCACCTGACTTCCCTGGGGAAAGCAAAGTGGCAGAGGAGGTTCCAGCAGAGCTTCCCTTGAACCATCTGTGCGGGGCGAGCGGTGGCCTCGACAGCGGGCCGAGGGACTGGCGGCGAGGAAGGGAGCTGTTCTGGCAGCAGACGAGCAGAGGGCACTGGCCAGGCCAGGAGAAGCTCCTTGCCACCTCCTTCTCCCTGACGGGCTACAACAGTCTCTGTTTATGGCACAGTCTCCCACATTTCCAGCTGCTATTGAAGAGTTTACTGTTATTAAGCGAAGAGGTGTCTGATTTACTCGAGGCCGCCGCGTGAGGACGGCAATCAGTGTACTTCCGACGCCTTCCCGAGAGGGCGGTGCCAAGTTATACTGTCGTTTGTAGTCAGCCAAGTGAAGCAGTTCTATCTATAATAACCTTTCAGGTGACCCAATCGTGTATTTGGTAAAGCTCTTCTAAAGGAGGAGATTACTTTCTGTCTTTCCAATGTATGAAGTAGGGTACCATATCAGTACTGCAGCTTAACGACTGTCTATTTTGAATGTCAGTTAAGCTCAGGTAGTGTTTATAAACTCCCGATTTTTAGCAGTTTTTATCCAGGGCTTTTTAAATTTGCATCAAGCTGAAACTTGGCATGTAAGCTGTCAGCACAGATGCTAATTTTATTCCAAAAATAGAGTATGTTAAAGCTTTCAAAGGTGTCGAATGGTTTATTTATGCAGTGGTTGCAGATGTTTTAGTGCTTGACTTTTTAGCTATACAAAGGCTTGCTGTATCACCTCTTTCCTTCCTTCATTCACCGACATGTACAGTCCTAAATAACGAGGAATAAGAATACAAGTTACAGTACTATAGTAATAATCCAAGGACAGTGTCCTCTGGGAATAAATTTAAGCAACAATAATTTTTGCTGAAATAGAACTATCCTTATGGAGAAACCATAAAAAAAAAAAAAGAGAGGAGACCTACAGTGAGCACAGCATTACCCAGAGTAACGACATATTACTAGACAGCATGGTGTAAGAGAAGACAAAATCCTCAGGCCCATACTAGCTTCTACCACCATAGAGGGCCTCTAATGCTCTAATTCATATAAGGGAGAACCTCCTCCCTGTGCAGTTACTGCAGAGGATGGCCCTAAATCCACCCTGATATTTCCTGAATATGTAAATTAAAGTCTAAGGCATCACAATTAAAAAAAAATATATATACACTTATATATATAAATATGTACAGATCACTAACATTCAGAGATCTGCAACATGATTTGAACAGTAAAAGCTACACCTCACATACATAATAACCCAGATCAAATTATATTCACAGATGGTCCCATTTGCTCCACTTTGCACAAAGAAATGGCTTCTGCCGTATCCCGAAGTCAACAACTCTGAGTTCTGGTAGTCAAACAAACAAAATCAGCAGAATACAAAACACAGAACCTTTCATGCAAAATGTCCTGCCAACAGCTGCAGATAGGTCACGTCAATGAAAATGTGTCCTACATTCTGTTCTCTTTCTTTTGTAAGTAGCCTGGAGGACAGCAGGGGAGAGATGGCAATGCCAGCAAGGTCCTGTGCCTTGTCAGAAATCTGTTACAAAGATCTGTCTAGAGCACAAGTTTCCATTTGTAATGAATGGAGGCAAAACACACAATTATTTCCAAATATATTTAAATTGTTTGAAAAGTAAACTGTAAGGGTCCTATATTGTTATACACATATATAATTACACAATAATATATTAATATTACATATATTATACACATATACCTATGCACATATATATATTTATTAATTTTCTAAGTTTTAAGAATGCTTACAGGACACAAAGATTGAGATGAGATGTCAAATCAATTTTCTCATTTAATACGATCTTCAACTTCCTCACTATAATTTTTCCAAAAAGCAATTTCCCCTCATGCCAGGACAAGTTAATGTGCATGATTACTTCTTTACTCTACCCCTCTTGGGGAGGTATGCTCAATCTGTTTAGAAAACAAAGAGTATATAGCATAATGGTTACAGATGAATATTTTTAAGTTTAGATCCTGTCATTCCACTGAATTCAGCTGGACCCAAATATGAATAAAGAGTCATTGCAAGATTATAAGCTTGAAGCATTTGCTCATACATAATGCAATATATTCACTACTCAATTATTTTGTCTCTCAAGAAGAGTAGAATGTCAACATTTATTGCCTATACCTCTTTATAGAGACTCCTTCAGCACTTTTTACTCTAAAAATTGATCCATATTATGTACAGCAATGTCAAAATAATGGATAAAGATACCATATCAAGATCTGTTTCATGGCCAAGATTTAACAATGCAACTTAGAGTAATTATGATGTGAAAATGTTTTAGTCCTTCTTGTCAGAATGAAGCAATGTGAAGAACCTGAGTTCATGTCTTTGTGGTTCAGACAGCTGTGGATGAGAAGTAATTTACAGTCAGGTTTTGAAATCATGCCAGCTGGAGCTTACTCTTCAAACAAATACTCCAGTACACCATTAGGAAAGTCACATATCCTATGTCATCATTTGATGGGAACCTTGTCAAAAAGTCTCCTCCCCTCTTGCTACAGCTGTTCCTGTGAAGAAGAGAGCATGTTTTCTGGTCATCACGTGCTCTGTGAATACTGTCTCTAGAAGGTAATTTACAGAAAACTTGGGGATACACATTCTCAGCTCTACAGACCTGGAGTTTGAGCCAAATCATGTTTTGTTAAAAAATACTCATGTGGTACAGAACTCAAATCATAAAATTAATTATTTCAAAATGTTAAATTAAAGAGATTAAAAAAAAAAACCTAAAATCAAACTCACAGGGGCTTCTCCTCCATCAGTCCTTTGCTTTCTTTGTACACACCTGAAAAGACATTTGGAAAGTAGGAGGCCGCATTTTTCCCTGTTGTGCATGCTGGATAGAAATGACATAGCCCCATAAGATATAGGCAGAAGGATATGTCCTTACATCAGTGTCTGCCTAGACCTACTGTTGGATCTGCAGGAACGTAGGGATCTTTGCATCATACATCACCTGCTGCTGCTGTATGGGGTGTTGTTGGGATAAAGTGTTGTTTCTTTAACACCATACCCTCTTTAAAAAGGGGTTTCAAGAAGCCTGAACATGAGTTTAGACAGAGAAGAGGAACACAGAGTAGCCATGGTGCCCTAGCACTCACCTCCTCAGATGTTGGTTGTGCACTCTGGGACATTTGGTTCAGTCTGGAGCTCTGAATTTATCTTTTCCATGCCCCTGGCTGCTGTGCCCTAGGTGGTTTGTACAGGCTGCAGCTCCTTGCCTCTCCCTGGGCTGTGGTGTCAGGAGAAGCGCACCTTGGCCAGCAGCCTTTTGCATCTCCTCCAGTGCAACGAACCTCAGATCACATTGTAATGTTTCTCTTCAGGAAACCATGGTTAACACTGGGGGCTTTCTAGTTCTCACAAGTTTCTGCTGTACCTGTCTTCAAGTGAAAAAAGTAGAAGTTGGGGAGGTGATAAGTTATTAATGCTGTAGATAGTCAGCTGTGGCTGCAGTTTCACCAGTGCTTTAAAGCTAGTATTTAAGCAGCTCTGATGTTGAAAGATGACCACTCTTCCCCACTCTTCTAACTACTTGCTGTCATCCCACCACTCCCTTTCACTTGTGTTTGCAGGAAAGTTTTGTGTGGCCACGTGGAGAACTGGTTGTGCCTATTTCAGGGAAAAAACAAGCCAGGTTTGTAAAGCACTCATGGAAAGACAGCCTAGCGCTGGAAGGACCAGCAAGAGGACCCAGGCACAGTAATGCTCAGTTCTGCAGTGCCTAAAGATTAGACGTTAGCTCCGAACCTGGAATCTACAACACCGATTTAGGTGTCCCCATTTTCCATGTATTGTTCAGGAAACGGTGTCCTGGGCTCTGGGTGCCTAAATCAGCCTGTGGGGGAAACTGAAACAAGGCACCTCTTGAGCCTGGGATCCAGAGCCCACATTCACTTCTGGTGCCTTGCTGCCTAGAGCATGCTCAAGGAATGCACACTTACGTTATATACTGTGAGAATTGCCCAAAAAAGGTAGAGCAAATATGTTTTGCTCACGGTGTGATTTGACACATGACATACCACAGCAACCGTCCAGGGCAAAGAATGCAACCCTAGTATGTATCAGATGTAATTAAGGATGTATGACTTAAGTACCAACTCATGGCAGCAGTTTGAAGTGATACCGTTGGACTGAGATACAACATTGTGGTTTTACTTCCCATCTAGGGAGCTGTAATACATGCTAAAAATACTCTGTTGGGCACATGGAAATTCAGAGCGTTATCACATGTGGAGGAGGAAGATGGAACGTCAGTCCCAGGAGAAGTAACCACAGAAGAGACAAAAAAAAAAACTTAAAACTGAACTTTTTAAGGTAAGCCTTTCTTTGTTGCCAGTAAGATAAGCTAGGACTCTGACATTCTTCATCCTTCTCCCCCTGTCTCTTGGGGGATGAAAAGTGATCTATGTTTAGAAATGAGTCATAGGCTTAAAAAAAAATACAGGTAATTATTTGCACCATATAAAGTACTTTACTGCTACATATTATATCTATTTAGTTTCTGGAGATGTTATTTTCCTCCCTCTGTTTTGTCAGGGCAGGAGTCATTTATTATTTAACTGCGTTTAAAGTCACTCCTCTCTGGGGAAACATGGAAGGGGATGCTTGACACACAAGGATTGCAATGACTTATACCCCTCTCCAAACCTGATATGTGCCCTGGCTCTGCCATCCCAACTCTGGGTGGCACACAATGACTGTGATTTAAGAGAGCAGCAAAAGAGGAAGAATTGCTCCAATAACCTTTTGGAAAGGGTATCCCTGATCCTTTTTTGTAATTCTGATTAAGTAATTCAGTGGATACTGCTATCTGTAAATTGATACATTCAAGCTCTACTATTAGACAATTAGAAGAGAGAACAGAGAGAAATTTCTATTTGTGAAGGATGATAACATGATAAACAGGATGTTATGGATAAATAACAAATTAACCAATGTGATTAGATTTCAGCTTTAGTGAACTACAGAGTCAGTTCCTGCCCATTTTACTTATATGAGTAGTTTCACTTATAATCTGCTTCTTAGTAAATTGGTCATTATCATAAAGCAATTAAACTTGTTGTTCTACTTCTCTAGCATTACACATTTTAATAATTGTAGTCATAACCATTAAAACCTGTAGTCTTGTATTCCCATGTTGCAAAACGCTCCTTGCATTACTGTGTGAAACCACTCAGTCTCCCTTTTCTCTATGACCGCGAGTTTAGCATCCATAGAAGAGAGAGGGGAGAAGTAAACACATGCAGAGCAGGTGCATGGTAGGAACGATGCAACTGTCTGTTCAGCCTGCGCCCGGCAGCGACCTGGCACGCAGCGCTCCAGAGCTACGGGAGTGGGTACGGAAACCGGGACCGAGCAAATTCCACGCCAGAACGTTGACAACGTCTGACACATGCAAATAGGTATGCTGAGCACACAGGGCTGCATATCTTGCTGAACAGAATACCAGGCAAACACCAAGGGGTCAGATTTGTGCGCAGTAATCATTTAGTTGTCATAAAACCAGAGAGGCTTTAAAAATCTGTCTGAAAGGCGCGTTCACAGAGTCACCAAGGCAAAACCTACACAAGGATAAAGGCTTTGTAACTTTAATAGTACGTTTGGAAAAGTTACTCTCCCTTTTAATATACTGTGAGTTCCAATTTTTGTAAAGTACTGAGGAATTTCCATCAATTTCTCTTTTAAATATTACCTTTTGTCACATTTTTACGCTTCTAGCAACCACTATACTAAATAGGTAAAAGGGTGGATATGCAGATATTGGCTTAGAGGAGCAAATTTTATTTAAAAGATCTCTTCTGTATATTTAATTCTTTTATACTATTGAGGAAGTACTTAAGACTATTCACATAATATCTTTAAAAATAATGATCTTTTATATATTTGTGGATAATACCTATAAAAAACTGAGAAAGTATGTTGGCAGAATTTTGTAAGAAGTTGTGCATAGCACAGCTCTCCTGAGCAACAGTACATTTAGAAAATGGCTGAAAGTTTTTTTTTCTGTCCATAAGAAGTGGCATTCCAGAGGCTTCTCTTTCTGCCCATTGTTCTCAAGAGAATTATTGAGAGGATCACTGCAGGTGAGTGATCTTCCCTCAGCTCTTGGAAAGTGAGGAAAACTATATTAATTGGATATTTATCAAAGTGAGGAAAGTTATATTAATTTGGATATTTATCCACACTTCTAAAAGTCACACCCGAGAAGCCAAGAGTAGCGTATAGGCATTACTCACCCTTGTTTCTGGAGTGCCTAGAAGAGCAGAAGCCCTCTGTGCTGAATGCTTTACAAAACTGAAATAAAAAGTCAGGCTCAAAGAAAGCTGGCAATCTGCATGTGATACATGTGATACAAATGACTATAAATGAATGCTAACGGATGGAAATAATGAAACAGTCCTGTTATAGGCTGCTCAGTGATCTCAAGAATTGGTTTGCAGAGAAGATGAAAGGGGATAAAAACTTCCTGTTTTCTAACAAAAGGCTGTTTCCAAAAGGGGAAGACTTTGCTCAGTATCTTTTCAAAATCTTGTTGGAAATTACCTGTGATACTAATGGCTACTTAGCAAATTTGACATATTTCGTCTCATGCTTCTTGCACATTTGAGGAACTGTTGTGGAGCTCTGTTGGACTGCCACAAAGCTGGGACCTCTGGGTTAAGAAGGTACCCCCAGGTGGTCTGTCCTAGGCTGAATCTTGTCCTGCCTGTACATCACTGTACTTCGTGGCAGTGCTCTGGAGCCAGAAATCGAGTTTCTCTGACTCTAGCGCAGGTTTATCATGGGGATTAGCTAGAGGCCAGTCTGCTATCAGTGTCCAGTGCTCCTGGCAAGCCCATTCCAGGAAGAACAAGGTTTTCTGGGTCTTTGTATTGCACTGAGGATAGCACAGTCCCGATCCAAACTGGAGCTTCTGGGTGTTACCACCATACAAGTAGGAATTATTAATGGTAACAGACTGCTATACAACTTGAAACATAGGTCAAGGACATAGATATCCTTGTCCCAGTAGTTTTCCATTTGCTCACGATACAAATGTCTCCAAGGACTATCTGACTGTTCTCTTGACTTGTTCCACTCTTGTGGACAAAGCGTTAGCTGTGATGAATTTGAGGTTCTTGTGAGTTCAGCTCATGTGGTAAGTCAGATGCCAGACTCCCAGTCTGTGAGTAATGCTGCTGAAGGTACTTACTTAAGTGAGCGCTGTAGCACTGTGCCCTTTATTCTCTGCTATATAAGCTTACACTCATTTAATCTAAGCACTTCTGCTTAAAATTGGTTGGCACAGTGGAGTTTCTACTGAAAAATGCTTTAGAAAGGAAGGAGAGTGAACGATATGAAATGAAGCCAAACTATAAGTGGCAGGAACTTCATTTTCCATTTCAAAGTAAAGTTAAATATATGTGATCTAATATAAAATGACAGGATGCTTTTGAAATATATATAAAATGTTTCATTTTAGTAAGAAGAGACACTGAAAATCTTTTTTGCTACCAAGCAGGCATGTGGGTGACGTTGGCTGGCAGCCTGTTGCAACACAGTGGTACAAAGGGAATTTTTTCAAGCATTGCCACAGTACGTGGGTTTTTTAATTGAGATTTTACTACCATAAAGTCAGTCAACCAAGAAGAATTTCTCTTGTTTTGGGTAGTAATAAATCTTCCAGGACAGTGTTAACCAACCCCTCGGGCAGTTTTGCTGGTTCATATTACTTTATATCCCACAGTACAAATTGCTGGAATAGGAGAAGGGACTTAGGTATACATTTCAAACATTTCTTTCATAGTTTTGGTCAGCATCATATGACTACATGAGAGGAATAGCAAGGGATTCATCATGAATATAAACACAGTAAGCGCCATCTCAGGTTTTACGTTAAAAAAGAAAACAAAATCAAAACAACCCTTCCTTCCCCTCTCCCCCTTCCTCTTCCCATTGAACTATTCCACAGACTTGGTGAGAAGTCTTGGAACAATTTCCTTTTCTACACTTCTAATTTAAACACCTTACTAGAAATGAATATTTCATAGCATATCAGGACTCCGTTCTTCAAGGCTTCGTCTCTTTACTGCTAATTATTTCAACAAGACCTATACTAAAGGCAAAGCCTGTCACTTCTCTAGATTGCCTGCATTAACACTATAAAACTAGCTTCATATGACAGTAAAGTTCTTGTTTCTAGTATTTCTTCATTTTCAATTTTTAGAATCTCCCACAGAAAGAAGTGACACAGTTTGCACTGGAAAACAGACTCCCTGCAGTTAGATCAGCTCTGGCCTCATTAGTAGAAAAAGTGAAACTACTAAAATTTAATCCTTACTTCCCCTCATTCTTCAAGCCAAAACCATCTTCTATTTGTATACGAGAAATACCCACAGCAGTATGCGTAAAGATCAACCCCTGAGGTCAGTTTGAAATAGCATATATTGCTTGAGCAAGAAAGCAACGTCTGCTTAGCTAGCTATAATTTGGAGTTAAGAAACTTAGAGATTTTCCACTAGATCTCACTTATTTTGTCCTGGGCTGGGTGAGGTGGGGGTGGGGAGAGAAATAACCCTCCACCTGTAATTAATTTCACAGTTTGATGATGCCAGAGATAATAAAATAATCCTCAAACACAACACTTACCAGAGAGTGTCATTTGACCAAAGTAGACAGGGATGAAGAACACGGCTGAAAAATCTTTTCCTTGTATCTTGACAAAGGTCAAGGCAACTCTATAGGGAACCAGATTGTCATGGCGTGCTGATATGAGGTACCAGCGAACCGGGCAATTCTGGAAGCTCTTGCCATAGTTCCTTCACGCATCGATGTACACTGAGGAAAACATGCATAAGGGAAAGTCCATGCTCTTCATTTCATACTTTGAAGTTCCCTTTTTTCCTTTACTCATACTCAACCTTTAGTGGGCCATTTCTCATTAGCTGCAGTCAGAAAAGAGACTTGCTTCATTCCTGGTCCTGCTTGACTCTCACAGGCTAGCTGAGCATCCAGCTGCACCCTCACATTGAGAGCCTGAATAACAAAAGCACCTGGGAACGGCCTACAAGAAAACAGCCTTTATGGTCTCACAGTGGTACTCTGCCTGTCGCTTGCTGGTATAATCTTCTGAGTGAGAGCTTTAGGGGCTTATAGCTGTTTTGTGTTACCCAAAGAGCATAAAGCAAGGCCAGTGCAGTCAAAGCGCCACACGGTACAAGCAACAGTGGTACTAATTTCTCCAAGATGACACTATGTGTCACTGAACTGCCTGAAGCTGGTGGGACAGCTAGAGGTTCACACTTCCACTGTTTGTCCTCCAGCCTCCGAGCTGAATTACCAACAAAATCAGTTTTGAATTTTTGTAAGTTTTATTCACAAAAACCAGACCCCATGGCTCTGAATATTCCAGACAGCTTTTCCTCCCAGTAATTACATACAGCCTTTACTAATCCAAACTAAGTTTGGTCTTCTGACTGAGAACTGGAAACTCTGCAAACTCTTTACCAGCTTCCACCACCAGTCAGCCAATGTCCCAGGTGCTTAGGATCTACAGTAAACAGACATACGAAACCAACAGTTCAGTTTTTTATGAAGTGCAGCTTTCTGTAAGGGTGGAATTATCATCACAAAACAACCTACTGCTTATTATCAGGCCCTACAGATTTTGACAAGTTTATTAGTTTTAGATGTGAGATCTTAACTAATTCCCATTCATTAACTATTACAACAATGACTTTGGCCTCTTACACCCTTCATAGACATGACAAAATAAACTAGATAAAATGAAGGAAAATGTTGTGGGATTTGCTCTGCATTTAAACTAACCTCTCATTTTATTGTATTATTTAGCAAATACAAAGATGAATGTTTGTCAGGTGATGCTATTTAAAAAGCAAAGCCAACAGGAGGCTTTTGGGAGACATGGTATGATTAGGATTAAGTCTTTTAAAGAAGAATACCTTATGAAATTTTAGCTAAAAAAACCCAAAAAACTGAGGCATAATATTTTCCATTTGTCCATAAAAGCTATTGCAGCAATTTCTGCAATAAAGCTGAGATGGTATCTGTTGTTAGTCATTTGGAGTTCTTTGGGATGAGGACTTAGTCTTTGTATGTGTGAAGCATTCTGCTGTGCATAGATGAACCTCAAATGCAAAAAACTATGTAAATTGCATAATAAGAAATTTCAATAGTTTTGCAGCATTCAACAGTATTGTTCACGGCTGAGGGCCAGATTGTAAAATCTGTGTTTGTGGCTATTAAGCTCTTACCCTAGCCCTTCCCAAAATTTTCTCAGTTTGATCCCATTTCTGTTGGGCTTGTAACCCTATATACTATAAGAACAATTCTACTTCTGTTAGCCTAGTGACCCTGTTGGAACTGCCAGAATCTCACTGGGCTGATAAATCTTAATTTGATAGTGCTGCTAGACACAACAAGGACTTTCACTGATGTCATTGAAGCTATTTGTGAAGCAAGGCACCACTCAAAAGAAATAAGGGTGTCTTGCAGTTTACCTACTTGCTTGGAGTGTAGAATTTAGGGGAGCAATAACAGACAAAAACGTTAAGAAGTCTTTTTGTATGGTTAAATACTTATTTTGGGATTGAAAAATACTGGAAAACAGACAGTGAACATAAACATATTATTTAGGTAAAGACTAGATTATAAAAATGATCCCTCATGTAAAAGTTCAAGCACAACAGTGAAAAAGAATATGTATTTTCTAGTAGAAAATCCATCAGTATTTATCTCCTTCTGTTAATACAATCAGAGTTTAGGCTAACCTCATCATAAAACTTAAATGAACTGGAAAAGAGAACATTCTGTTTTGTAACTGTTAAAAACAATTGAATATAATGTTAAGTTCTCTATTGGTTTTGGCAGCAAGTTCTTGCCCCTTTAAACTCCTATGTACACACTTTCTACTCTTTTGTAATGGGACTTTAAAAAGACATTAAATTGACTTGGTTTGCATGGGAATATGCAATCTGGACAATGTGGAGAGCACTATTTGAAAGACATTGTTTGCAAGGTTTTACTGGGTGACAGCAGCACTTAGATCTGTCAAAAGCCTGAAACACGCACTCAGTCTGCGAAAGCCTGGAATGAACAAGGAAGATAAAGTGATATTGGTCACTCAATTGCAGATTTAAACTGGAGCTACAAAGTCTCACACAAGCCTGGCACAGGGCCAAGTCTGGGGATGGGCAAAGAATATACATCAGCAGAAACCCCACAACCGATCTAGTATCAGTCAAAAATAATTCTCACTTCATCTGCACTGCTTAGCAAAAAAACTTGTTTGTCTAGTTTTTCTTTAATCAAATTATTAACTGAAATAATTCTTGATTCAGCGAAACTGGGATAAGATGAATAAATAATCTAAAAGCGTGAACGACTGATAAGAAGACATGAATAAAATGACTTCCATGTGTACGTGCTTACTAAAAATGGGATTTCTCTTTTAAAGAAAGAGTACTGTAAACAAATACACGATCCAGTTTATTAAGTAGAACTGGCTGAACTACAGTTCAAAAATAAGTGACACATGTTAGCAATTACCATACTACACTACATTTATACCATTGAAAAGCATAGTTCATATGTTTTTCCTATACAAGTTGTAGCTTTTCTAGCTTGCCCTTACTAAAGATTTTCAGAAATGTCTTCTCACCCTGTATATACAAGCCTGACTACTGAATCCATATGTAGACATGCGAGAGCAGATCTAGAATCTGTCAGTTGCATGTTCTAGAGCATAAGTTAAAAAGATCTTCCATCCAGAGATATAATGGAGAAAGAATAGGCTTTGGCAATTCAGTGGTGAGCATGTTTGCCTGTAGCTCATGTTGCTTGGGTTTCAAGAGCAAGAGATGATCGGCCTGGTTAAACTTAGGGAAGAGCTGTGTCAGCACACTGCTCTATTAGGGCTATTTTATCTTTCAGGATGGACGTTCTCAGCTCTTGATCCGTAAAACATGACAAAACAGACCCTCCCTACCTCCCATAGACTTAAACAAACCGTCAGCCTATTAGATATTGTGATAAAAGTTACTAAAGAAAAGTAGATTTTTTTTAAACCAAAAAATCAAAAACGTTTACTTTGAGAGAAAAGGCTTCTCCGCTTGTAGTAAATAAAGAGAGAAATCTTATAAACAACCAGCAGCTTGGCGTTCAGGGCACTCATCAGATACCTAGGCCAAGTTCTTGTTCCCCATCAGGCAGTGCCTTTGCTCAGCCCTGGGTTTGCCTCCTTGCTCGGGTATAAGCCTTATGTATGAGACTACTGGCCATTCTGGAGCAAGTCTCTCTCAGATAAACAGCTTTCTCTTCCTGACATGCAACGACAACCGACGTTCAGGACTTGCAGCATGCTCTGAGAGCTGCATGCTGGGATGTACTAGCTGGAACGAAGTGAGTAAGTTAGATCCTACTGCAAGGAACAAGGATACAGATCCAAACCAGAGCACCATATTCAATCTAAACAAATGACTGCTGTTCCGCCGTTTGGGCAGAGGGCTGGCAGAAAACAGCTAGAGGCTATTCAAAGATGATATTCATGTGATCTCCCACTTCCCCATATTAAGGAAAGGCATGTTATTTCACTGTTGCATTAGTTCAACACTGGGCTACCACATGAGAAGGACATATGCAACAAGTAGCAACATGTCTGCAGAGATCATTAGGAGATGATTATTCACTCTTCTCACAACGCAAGAATTTGGTGTAGCAGACGTAGAAAAAAAGAGGAGGAAATGCTCTTTTCCTTCCCCCACAAAATGCATTGTTAAATTGCCACAGAGTGTTATGTAGGTCATAAGTGTCAGTGAACTGACAAAGAAAAATTATAAAATGCAATTATAGTAAGTCTGTCCAGGGTTGAGAGCGCAGCCAACAGAGGCAGCGAACAGACGCAGCAGTTTGCGCAGCAGTGTCTGGGTTCTGCCTGGGCCTTTTGTGGGCCTTGTTGGAAGTTGTGGAGACTTTCTGGGGACCCCCGAGGAACTAGACGGTGCTTGCTGCTAGCAGGAAGGGAGAGCTGGGCAAGGACTCCTGCAGGGGACCTTGACTTCACTTCTCCTGGGAAGTTCTAGCTAGGTGGGGCTGCTGCTAACGAGCTCTCTGGGCTGCCCTGGTCAGAGGGAGTTGGGGCTTTTGTTTCAGGTGGCTCCTGATTGGGTGGGTCAAGCACCCTTGTGAGTCACTGCTAGGCAGAGGCCTATATAAGAGCCAGGCCTAGAGCGCAGCTCCCAGAGCGCAGCCAACAGAGGCAGCGAACAGACGCAGCAGTTTGCGCAGCAGTGTCTGGGCTCTGCCTGGGCCTTTTGTGGGCCTTGTTGGAAGTTGTGGAGACTTTCTGGGGACCCCCGAGGAACTAGACGGTGCTTGCTGCTAGCAGGAAGGGAGAGCTGGGCAAGGACTCCTGCAGGGGACCTTGACTTAACTTCTCCTGGGAAGTTCTAGCTAGGTGGGGCTGCTGCTAACGAGCTCTCTGGGCTGCCCTGGTCAGAGGGAGTTGGGGCTTTTGTTTCAGGTGGCTCCTGATTGGGTGGGTCAAGCACCCTTGTGAGTCACTGCTAGGCAGAGGCCTATATAAGAGCCAGGCCTAGAGCGCAGCTCCCAGAGCGCAGCCAACAGAGGCAGCGAACAGACGCAGCAGTTTGCGCAGCAGTGTCTGGGCTCTGCCTGGGCCTTTTGTGGGCCTTGTTGGAAGTTGTGGAGACTTTCTGGGGACCCCCGAGGAACTAGACGGTGCTTGCTGCTAGCAGGAAGGGAGAGCTGGGCAAGGACTCCTGCAGGGGACCTTGACTTAACTTCTCCTGGGAAGTTCT